ATAGGTAAAAAGTGTTCAGATTTAGTTTTTCAGTGGTGAGGAAGCTGATAGCATTATAAAAAGGTGTTTTGTGTGTGTGTGTGTGGGGGGGTGGGTTCACCAATAATCCTATGTGTCAAAACCCTTGAGAAAACCCAGTCTTTAAAAGGSTGCTGTTTGTGTCAGGAATTATCTCTCTTTCATCTCTCTCACCTCAAAGTTGATACTTTTGTTGGATTTGAGTATAAGTTTGTGAGCCCGAGAAGCTGTCTTTTGTGTTGGCTAAGAAATCAACTTTACCTACCACTAACTCTTTCTGGAGGAAATCTGAACCGGAAGTTGCAGGAAGAAGAAAGCTGGATAATAGGGAGAAACATTCGTGATCTGCAAAAGATTCACCTAGTCCTGGCTCARTCCCTCCAGGGGTTGGTGTGTGGCATCATGTGAATGCCATAGAATGCAATTGCTCAGAAACTCAATTTAGAGGCTCCGACTCTACAAGTCTCCCCAAAGCAGCAAGGAATGAGAGAGAACATTCTCAGGGCCATGCCAGCATATCCCTGCCATCAGATATTAGAGATTAAGTCTGAAACTCCCCCCTGGACCCCGAGCCAGGAGATCAGTGCTGTCTGACAGATCTTTCTGTGATCATGGGAATCCACTAGGTCTATGCTGTSGACCACGGTAGCCACAGGTGACTGTTGATAAGTTGACATGTGGCTAATGCAGCTGTGCAGCTTAGTTTGAAATTTCATTTACTCTTACTTTAAATATAAGTAGGTCATGTGGCTAGTGACAATCATATTGAATCATAGTATAGGAGTAAAGTCTCCAGACTTTCAAGAGGAAATGCGTGGGACTCTTACCCTAAAGAACAAASCTGCAGTGAGGAGCAAGCAACTCAAGGACACAGGAGGTGGTCTTGRGGTGGTGTGAGGCTAATGCTTATAAGAAGCACTTAGCCTGTAGTGAATTTTCATCTTGTCACACATTCTATTAGCCCCTTTGAGGTTGAAGAAGGATRTTAGCCCAGGACAAATCTAGGTTATTCTTAAACATATATATTCTAGAGGCTGAGGCAGGAGGATTGCAATTTCAGGATAGTCCTTGGCAATGGAGTGAAACCCTGTCTCAAAATTAAAAGGGTTGGGGTTCAACTCAGTGAGGGAGCATCCCTGAGTTTGATCCTTAGTATTACAAAAAAAAAAATGTAATTGAAAAGAAATGTACTCTGGACACCAGGACTGTGACAGTCAATCAGAAAGTCCAGGAGTATGCACTGCAGTTGTTATATTGGGAACATCAATTGTGCATGGTCTGTGTGATCTACATGTAAGAAGAGTGGGCTACATGGAATTCARTAACACTTAGTGCAAGGCTGTTGGCATGCTCTGAAACTTCCCTACCTAGAGTCACAACTTTCAGAACGGTATGTGCTCAGTTCTCTTCTTCTGTGAGTTGGAGAATAAAGGAAGCCACTTCTGAGATCAGCTTATTTATTCTTCTTACATCTTGAATGTAAAGATGAGACCCAGTGTGGGGAGGGAAAAGGAGGACCTGAGGACTCAAGGACACRGACAGGTTGAGGCAAGCCTCTACCGTGACCTCAGTGTCCAACGTCCAGTSCAGGCCTTCCTCTTCTACCTCACCTGGGGCCTGTGTCTAGACCTCTGCCTGCAGCCATCCATAGGTGGCTCCGGCCTTGACCAACCACATGCCTGTCCAGGMTTCAAGGCCTGCYTGCGACTGGGAACCACATYGCACGGCTCAGGGTTGGCTGGGTGYGCTGTTGCAGGTGGTGTGCAAGGAGTAGTGAACTGCTCACCACCTCTCGTGGGTGGCTGATGCTTCCATGRTGGGTGGGGCAGGTTCTGAGTGTTATCAGTCCACTTGCTGTTACTAAAGCACACACCTGAGATAAATCATCATCAGCAACAACAACAAAACAGAGGAATGGGAYGTTTTGGTTCATGGTTTTGGAGGTTTCGGTGTATGGCTGGGTGAATCCATTGCTTTTGGGCGTTAGGTAAGGCAGCACTTCACGGTGGTCAGSAAGTGGTAGAGAAAGCCATTCACCTCATGGCAGCTGAGAAGGAAAGAGAGAAAGAGGAAGCACCAGCATCCCAATATCCCCTTCAAGGGCCCTCATCTGATGACCTAAGACCCAGCCCCCACTAGTACCACCTTTTAAAGTTCCCACCCCCTTGCAACAGTGCCAARTTGGAGACTAAGCTTTGCACGTGTCGGGCTTTGGGAGACACTGAACATGCAGACTGCACTTGAATCCGTTGAGGGATATGGAAACAATATCTGGAGCCCTCATACCTCTGTTTTTGGCCCTATAGTCTGAAGGCTTTTGCAGACAGTCTCATGGGGCCCTGCTGTCGGTGCAGGGCAAATCTTTTAGAGGGGACTATTCCCTGCCACACCACCGAGGTCGTCTCTGGGGTTGGGGGAGATTTCCTTTACTCATTTAGTGCGCTACGATTTACCTTCCAGGTTCAGAGATGTTTTTCCCAGGCACTTGCGGGGGCAAGCGGAAATAAGTGATTAATCCTAGACCTCCCAAGGGGGACAAATGAAGTAAATGATTGCAGTACTCTGGCAAAAAGAYGGAAGAAACATCTGTTTCTCGCAAGTGTGAACTTTACTCAGCCTTTCTCTTTCAGGTTAACAGCAGCCTGATCACAAACATTCTGAGTGCTCTGTGTGCCCTGGTGGGTTTCTTTATCATCGCCGTCAATCTAGCTGCTTTGGGTCCTGCCGCAGAGGAGTGCGTGTTGAAGCAACAGGCTAAGCCAACCGCTTTTTTTGGGTATTACTATCCCCATAATGGAGAGAACTACAGGGGCTGCTACCCAGCCAAGGCCAGTCTAGCTGTAAGTATTTCTCAATGGGGTGCTCTGATTCTATGAGTTTTTAAAAAGCCCTTCTTTCCYCTTTTGAAAAACTCTGTATTCTCTCTGGTTTGGGGGAAACGAGGGATGGTCAAGACTAGATGAAGGAGATTAAAAGAAGGAGATTAAAAGGTTACATGCTAATAGGGAGGAATTGAAGAGTACGTGTCCCATAAGGTTGGGGATGAAAAACTAGACCTTGTCACCGGGAGAGATTCTTACTAATCAAACAAATCAACTTTTGAGGTGCAAAGTAGGAATTTGTCTAGCCAAGAACTTGGTACCTGGGAGAGGTGACTTACAAAAGGCAAACAGAAGAGAGAACAGGTAACCAGGACATGCCAGAGAGGAGACCTGGCCCATGTGTACGGCAAGGGTTAAAATGGTCTGATCGATACCAGGCTCAGCCCGGAAAAAATAGAATAAGAAGCAAGGGGTCTCTGAAGAGCAGGGCTTTTCCTCCTTTCCAAGATCGTAGTGATGAGAGACACTGACTCTGTGAGTTGGCAAATCATTGCCGTTCTTGTTATGATTCAGATTGGACTTATTAAATTGGGAGATAAGAAATCTTAGGAGAGGAGGAAGGTTAACTGATAATAATTCTAAGGGAACTCTGTCTTATTGAGTGAACTAAAGCAATTAAGTTTGACTAACAAAAATATTATGTCCTAAGTGGGACAGCAACATCCTGAGAGAAAAGTAGGCAACATGACCAAAAAAGAGAGGCTGCGGAATGCTCATTGTGCTGAGATGATAGTCGTCCCAGACACAGGTGGAGGAAGGACAGATAGGAAGATCTGGCGGAACTGTGTCTGCACCTTGCTCCTTAAGGAGCGGACTGCAGGTGCTTCTCTCCTGGTTAGTGACATGACAGTGAGAAAAAAGTACATGCAATTGAAATGGATGGAAATTGGCATAAATTAACATCAGCACAGCTAAGCTAATCTTGGGGAAAATTCTGGAGTGCTGAGGAAGAAACTGAGTAGTGGATAAAGTATAAATTCATGATGGGATAATTTTACATTGTAAGTAAGAGAGACTGAGCCGAGCTTGTTGGCTAGGACGGTGTCAGGTACGGCACGTCTCTCTCTCCTTATGTGTAACTCAGCTAGAAGACAACCCATCACATTCTCTCCTTTACTATCAAGTGACCTGCCTGAAGGATACCTTGCCCCTGGACCACCTTTTGGAGATGGCTTGTGTTACTTTGCTGCCTTGATGGTTATCTTCTAATTCTTCTAATCACCAAAAAAGACTCAGGGAAAACATCCACATTTTTCAGGTACTTAGAAGGGTCAGTMAGTACTGCATTTTACAAAGAACTTGCACAGTCCAAAACCTCATTGATCCTAGCAAACCTCTGAGAAAGAAATTGTGCACACTTGATAAAGAAGGAAACAGAAGCTAGAGAAGCCAAGAGAATGGTCTAGGCTCATACCAAGCAGTACAGGTGAGGCTGGAGTAGGAGCTGTAGGTTCTCAGGCCCGGRAACAGTTTTGCCACTCTGCTCTCTCAATGAGTGAACAGTGCAATTAACCTGTGTCCCCGCAGGTAAGAATCCAGGTGTAAGGGGCGGGGGGCTGACTTAACRACTCCGCATCTTCCCTCTTCATCTAGAGGGAGTTCATGAACAGAGAGGTTGAATCAGGCCATTGCTGGGCTTGGGAGGAGCCCGTGGTGTCCTTACTTCATCCCCGGATGGCGGAGGTGGTCCTCATCTCTACAGTCACCTCCCACCCGGGCATGAAGGCTGCGCTGGACACAGGCACCATCTCTCTCTTATCTGCTGGGTTTCAGGGAGTCCTGTCTGTGATGCTGATTGGCACCGTGTTGGAGGCCTGCCTGGCTGTGCTCATTTCTGTGCTGTGGTGGCTGCAGGCCCACTCTGATGTCCCTGGGGTGAGTGTGCTGGCGGCCTCATGCCATCGTGCCTGGGGTTTTTCTGGGAAGTGTTGAGCAATGTTCCCAGGAGTCACACAAGGAGGAAGCCGTCAGGCACAAGAGGCACTTGCGGGATGGCTTTGCTGGTAATGAGGAAAGGCAGTTGAGGAAAGCAGATGACCAGGACTAGCTGGCAGCTGAGGCTTGCCCGCACTGGAGAGTCCGCCCTGAAAAGTCCCGGGGCTTAGTCCTCCTGGTTTGCAAACAGAACAACCACACCAAGGCTCTGTGGAGCTGAACGCCTGTCCTGGTGCTATGCTGTGTTGGTGGCTGTGCTCAGGACACTAGGACCTGGCTGCCACCCTTGCTAGCAGGAACTCTTCCCGCCCTAATGACTGGTCTTTATAACAGTCTTGACTTGGGAAAAGGCACTGAGAACTGGGTTCTGTCTCTGTCTAATTGCCCTCCTTTCCCTTCTCGTCATCTTAATGTTATTTCTCCTTCAAAAGATCTTAAAGAAATACTGTTAAATCAGATTGTAAGGGACAGTATTCTGCCACCAGTACAAATTCACAGCTTCATTGAACTGGATTCTTTAAAAAACAATGTATCCAAAATGAATTGTTTTAATTATTTTGCTTATAAATAGTAGAATGCTTCATGGGTGAATAGCAACTATTTGGAGGACTTAATGATGTACTATATTCATCCTGGAATGGCAAAAGTTCTATGTAAAAGTTTCAAGGGAATGCTATCTCTCTCTCTGTACACACAAACAAACTTATATACATGTATATGTACATGTATAATATATGTATATATATTCATGTTCATATTCTCATATATACACATAATATATACATAGTTATATGTATATGTTCAGTTGAACCTGTGTGAAGACTGAAATCTAACATATCCTCTTTTTTCTAGAGTGTGTTATTCCTGCCTCATAGTAACAGGAATAAATTCAACATGGCCCCACAGGAGCTTTGTAACCCTGCATATGAGGAAATGACTTCTTAAAGAACAAAGAAGAGGAAAATATTCAGCAGAAATTGGTCTTCATGATAATACATAATAATAATAATAGTAATAAACCCATCGTAGAACAGAAAAGTTTTGGTTCCCTAAAATGTAGACTTTTTATGCAATGAGTATTACAAAACTTGTTGAACGTATGTGTCCGCTGATGCTCTCTTGATTTGCCGGACATCGTCGGCTTCAGCAAAAGCACAGGTCTGGAAAACTGCTTAAATAGACTGGCCCAAAAGTCCCAGACATTTCCCAGAAAACTAGGTACAATGTTTCAGTGGATCATAGTGAAGCCCAGGAGACAACTTTTTCCTGCCCCCCTTAACAGGAGTTATCTGATTGGTTGTAGATTTGGTCTCTCTTAGAGGTGGCATTAATTGTTCACCTCATGTATTTCACTTGTTAGTGCATGGAGACAAGTTCATGTGATGGCATCTCAGAGACTGTAAAAGTAGTTGGCTTCAAAATAAAGTCTTTGTGTGACTGCACATTTCATTTCAAAAGTCATTGTGTTATTTTTCCTTCAAGGGCCGAGTTAACCATGATCTATACAAACCTAAATGTGAAGCCTCTTTCCCTTTCATCAAATATTCAAACAAATGAAGCACAGGAGTCTAACCGGGAATATTTATCTGTTATTAAGCAACAAACAACTTACATTTTTTTTTTCTAATAAAAAGAAACAATTGTTAAATTGTACATATTAGGCCTCTGCACTGGCAAATAAGCATAAACATGCATGTGCACATACACGCACGTGCGCACGTGCACACACACCCACCCACACACTCTTATTACTTTACCTATTGCAATTTCTATCTCTAAAGTCAGAGGATAAATGATAAATACTTACCTTAGGTTGAATTTGAGTGAACATTCTATGTTTAGCAACACTATTTGGGGATCCAGAAGGTATGTCTGATTCCAAGATTACCAAGGTGAATAATATTCCRTTCTTAGCTTCAAGAAAGGTAATAGTTAAACAAAGAGAGTGGAGGTACAATAAAAATAGGATTATATTGGACAGGGTGTTAAATTATATTTATTATATTTGAGCACAGAACGAAGAATACCTTCTTCTGCCTACAAGAATGTAGAAGATGAAAGGGAGAGAGGAGATAAATAATGTGTGTGTGTGTGTGTGTGTGTGAGAGAGAGAGAGAGAGAGAGAGAGAGAGAGAGAGCCCTTCCTGGAGAACTTCTCACCCCTCCCACCCTCCCCACCTTGGATGTCAATCACATGGTGCCACCTTCCTGCCTCAGAATCACCTAGAATGCACAGTTGATGTATCGATCTACTGTACTGTCACTCTAGCTTCACACCTCACTGCTGGGCACCAATTTTTTTTTTCAAATCGGGGGAGAGGAGACATCTCTCCAAGCTCTACAGAATTAAAAGAAACTAAAAGAAAAAGATTATTAAGGAATAAAATGAACAACATTATGCCAACAATTTTCACAATTTGATGAAATGGGTGGGTGGGTGGGGGCAGTAGAAATCATAGGAAGACATACATTAACAAGAGTTACCCAAAAGGATTTAGAAAGCAAACCAAGAATTTAAAAATAATGAATGATTCTGTAACAAGTGAAAAATGGAAATAGTATTAAAAAAACCTTCCCTGAAAGTAAAGCTCATATCCAAAGAGCTTCACAGGTGAATTAATTTAAATATTTAAAGAAAAACACTTACCCTTTATAAACTTACTCACAACCGAGAGGAAATGGGAACACTCCCAACTTGTTCCATGAGGTTAGTATCCTGGTGTCAAACTTAGACAAAAAAACCAGAAGGAAAGAAAGCGAAGGTGAAATATGCTTCCTCACTGGCCTGCTATATACTTCTGAGGTCACTACAGTCATATGAGATGACATTCTGGTGTTGCCTCTTTTATTATAGTGTCAATCATAACTTGGGCGAGGGACATGCTGTTTGGAATCATGCAATTGTCTTCACGTAGCCCATCTGATAGCCTATCATTTACAGCTTTCCTATGACTCTAGTAGGCTGTGAATATTTATATCACAAGGAGGTAAATCAGAAAATTTGCTATTTTCCGAGCATGTATGATTCACCTTTCCTTTAATCCATTCTCATAAATCCTCAGAATCCATTACAACATTTTAACTCCTATAGACCATTTTAGTTTCCCAGGTTGCTTTGGTTGGAGCTCCACCTGCTGGCCAGAAGAAGAAAAGCTTACTTCTGTTTTTGCTGAGCCAAACACTGGAAATAAATTTTAGTGGATTTGCTGTATTTGTTTGTTTGTTTTGTAGTTCTCTTCCCATTCATTTTGCTATATCCTGAGACTGCTTTGATTATGTTCATGTTATTCTGGGATGTTTTTCTATCACTAACTGATTCCAAAGCTTTGTTTCTTTAAGCCAAAGGCATGCAGTTATTACCCTCTATTAGCAGTTTGTTTCCACTTTATTTATCAGAATCATCTTTTTTTTTAAACTTATAGGCAATTCTTAGCAATACTTTTAGCTAAAATTGTTTCTGTGTCTTTGATGTAATGTCTCTTCTGATACATTTGCCTCTAACAGTGGTTGATAGGCTTCAGTTTCTAAAGAAGACTCCCAGGACCATTAGGACAGTGTTTACAAATCATGGGAATAGGAGGCAGTGTACCAACAGTATTGGAGTTAAGATGTGCATCCGGGTTAAACACTGTCTTGCAGCAAGAGGCACGGAGCCTGGGCTTGAGCTCCAAGGGCCCTCACTTTGTCTCTGTGATGCATGTTCTGTTTTTGGTAAGAAGCCCTAATAGAACGCCTCGGAACCAGGAATCCCCCAGACACTGTACTAGTTAGGGTTTCTTCTACCTGATTTGGGCATATTTATTGGCATATAATGGGTCCTGATAGCAGATCATTCTGCGCATCTCATTAAAGATCACATGCAAATCCCTAGTCTCATTGTTCTCAGCGGTGATTACAGGCTGGCACAAACCTTTGAGCAACTCCACACACCCCTGGCTCCAAAGCAGCACTGTTCATCAGTATGCTCATGCAGTGACTGAGGGTCAGTGCCTTGGGGAAACTACAGCAAAATAGCTTAGGACAATTTTAAGTCTGCTGAAATTTACCCTAATGACACAAGCTACATATATCAATAGAACAAAATCAAGCAGATTGTGGTCAAATCATCTTTGCATCTGATTTCTGATATTTACCATTACAATTTTGAAATGTTTCTGTGTTGCTGCATCTATCAGTAGTTTTTTATTGTTTAGTAGTATTTCATAATATGAGCACTTTATAGTCTTTATCCTTTACCTGTTGATGGACATTTGAGCTGKTTTTTTTTTTTTTGCTATTATGAGTAAAGTCACTATGAATATTAATGTGTAATCTTTTTGTTAATATACTGTATGTTTTTGTTTCTTGAATTATTACATGGAACAAGATGACATCACAAGATAAACATTTATTTAATGTCTCGATAAATTATCAAACTATTTTTTCAGTGATTCTCATTTTATATTACTACCAAACATGTAAGACAGTTCTATTTGTTCAACATCCTTACTAATCTTTGCTATTTTTAATTTTAGTCAGTCCAGTGCATGTGAATGGCATTATTTTAATTTGCTTTTCTTTYATAAATAATGACATTGAGCATCTTCTCATGTGGTTATTGGCCATTTGCATATATTCTGACTCTTTAAACAATGTTTGATTGTGTTTATGTTGCATATTTAAGTATGGATTCTCCCTCTCTCTCCCTACCTTTTGCAAGGTCCTTTTTATCTCTTTGTCTGTCTCCKATCAAAACATGCTTAGGACTTATTGATTCTTGAATGTAAGGATTTATTTCTATCATAATTTCTGAAAATACTCAACCACGTATTTTAAAGTATTTTTTAAAATTCTGTAACCTCTCTGTTCTCTTTCAGGTACTACAATTTAATGTGTGTTAGATGCTTTTATCTCTCTTTCACAATCGAAAATATTTTTTTGCTRGATGGTGTTTTCACATGAAATGTTAATTTTCAGCCCCATTAGACTTCCATGAGTGAAGCCTAGAGATGAAATTTCTAAGTATTGAAAAATAACAAAAAAATGCAGTAACATCTTTTTTGTTAAAATTTTTAAAAAATACAATATTAGGGGTTTTGCGTACAGTTGCAGAATTTTTTGACTATATTTTGTGTATTTTTTCTAAAACATATACATTTATCTTTTCAAATTTTTCTCTAATGAGAATGAATTGTTATACACATAAATAATACCATACATTCATTGAGCAATATGTCCAAAGAAGAGAAAATGGATCTGGAACGTTAGTGAAATATTGGCTTATGGAGTTTTAGTAGTGACAATTATACCAAATTTAGGAGCTGGTCTGCATCCTTTCCATGATTATCTAAGAGACCATGTATGAAATGTCAAAATATATATCCTTTCAATGGGTAAAGTTGAGTCACATGACATTTGTACGTATGTGTGGGTGTGTGTGTGCGTGTGTGTGCACGTGTGTGTGAAATCACAGCATGTTCATAATCAGTGTTTCTTCAATACATGTGAAGAAATAATTAAAATAAAATAAATACCTCTGGAATGTGAAGAGAGCTCTTAGTAGGTTTGCCATTCAGAATTCCCATGACTCATATTTAGTTCTGTAGGATTCTCTTTATGGGTGATCACTAGAAGAAGGTTTGTGTTGGATTCAGTATCCTGTCTTAATGGAATATGCATATCTTGACTAGGAAATGTATCCTTTCCCCAAATTTTCTCTGAAATTTGCCCCTGGGAGATCAGGACGAGAGCATTTTGCTACAACAGAGTGAGGAAACACCTCAGCCCTGGACTTACCTTCTCTTTGCTAGATCACGTGGTCCTCCAAACAAGGTGGCCAATGTGTGACTTTCATTTCACCCTCACTCCCTGGGCTCACTCAGGGTGTGAACAGCCGTGGGGTCTGCTGGTGCATGGCTGTTTACTGGGAAGGGGAGGAGGCATTTGAAACACTTCCCAGAATCATGAGGAATCACCAACTTCAATCTCTGCTTAGGTAGAGAATTGCCTAGAATAAATTATTAGTGGTCAGATGGGAGAAGGGGTGAGAGAACACTGATCTTGTGATATAGTCACCACTCTATTTTCTAAAGATTCTTTTGTCACATAACTTCCATAGTGTGGTATGTGCTATCCATTCTCATATGTCTTTTTAAGTTAACTGATCTAAAATATATTGAACATGGACTGTGCTTATTTTGTGGTAAGATAAGGAGACAATGGCATTGCAAATATCCTGAAGAACTATAGGTCATATTAAATAAATAAACGTTTCAACGGAAAAATTGTAATAGTTGAGTCAAAAGATAAAAACAAAACAAAACCTAGGAATGGTAGTGTAATCTTGATACTAATTCAGTACTAAAAACACTTCACACAATCCCCATTAATCATACACACAGAGGCATTCATTTGCTCATGTATACATACACAGGTTCGAGTTGTGTGTGTGTGTGTGTGTGTGTGTGTGTGTGTGTGTGTGTGTGTAGTCTCCCCAATAGGCACAT